GCGATGGAAAAGGCAGCGGCGATAGGCAACACTAGACAACTTTTCGCCTTATCAAAGAAACCGGTATTAGGAACCCGAATGTAAGTGAGACTATCTCGGAAAAGGATGGTCTTATTATCCATTCTCAACTCAGGAGATTGGACCGATGGGCAGAACACTTTAGGGACCAGTTCAACTGGTCTTCAGCCACACTTCAGTCATCCTGAATGGCAAATCCATTTAAGTCCTCCGAGACTACATGAAGTTTAGAAAGATTTAGGAAATCTGAAGGGAGGTGTAGCAACAGGTCTTGATAAGCTTACCCCTGAGATGTTTAAGGATAGTGGTCCAGTTTTAACAGTTAGACTGTCCGAGATCTTAGGTAGAATCTGGGTATAATCTAATTATCCTAATCTACAAGAAAGGACAAAAGTCCTCTTGTGACAATCACAGGGGAATAAGTCTAACTAATATAGTATCTGAAATATTGGCCTCAATAATACTTCGACGCTTAACGAAAGCTCGTGAAGAGCAGACTAGAGAAAACCAGTCTGGTTTCAGACCTGGATGTGCATGTTCAGACCACATCTTCACACTACGAGAGGTCCTGGAACACAGACACACATTTAGACATCCGACAATAGCCGTATTCCTGGACATAAAAGCGGCATTTGACTCAGTGGATCGTGAGGTTCTGTGGCAGTGTCTGTCATTGAAAGGTCTACCAAAGAAGTACATTAACCTTATACAAACTCTCTACTCGAACAATACTGGACGAGTGAGAGCATATGGCGAACTTTCATCTGCATCCTCTACTTCAAGTTGTGTCCGTCAGAGATGTCCACTCTGTCCATTCTTGTTTAACTTTGTCGTAAACATCCTCTTAGAGTTAACATTAACCTCATCAGATTTTTTAGGGGTTGATTTTCTACCACGAAAATCGCTTACTGACCTAGAATATGCCGATCAGTCAGTCAGTTGCAACGTAGAACTTCGTACGTAAGTACATCAGTTCATGTCGCCATACCACATCAGCACACAGATATAATTGTCAATTCAAATCCAATAGTAGAAGAGGTAGTAAAGGTATTAGAAGTAATCGAAGTGGCTAGAATTAGAAGATATTATTCACGAAGTATGATTCAATGAGATAAGTTTAGAAAGTAAAAACTAGAGGTGTTGAAGAATCCAGAAGATTAGGATTTGAGAGAGAACACAAAGAATAAGTGCACTGGCGCCACTGCCAACGATTTTGAGCCATGTCATCCAAGGTCTCTAGCCATCGATTACTATCATCTCGCGGACCCCAACCAGGTAGTCGACAATTACCGACATTGCTAAGTCCACTCGTCAATGACTTCATGGATTTCTGCCATGTTTTGGTTTGGCCGCCCCTAGCTTTCTTCCAACCTATTCCTACACTACAAAACAAAGCTCGACGAGGCAGTCGGTGGTTAGGCATACGCAACACGTGTCCCAACCACCTCAACTGAAGAAGTCTCACCACTTCATCGATTGATCTGCCATTCTTACCTAGTACCCGTTTCTTAATAACAGCGTTGCTCACTCGGTTGTCCCACGATATACGAGCAATGCTTCGAAGACACCTATGATCGAAAACCAATAACCGACGAGTATCTTCTACTCTCATTGGCCATGTTTCACAGCCATAAAGTAAGACGGAGCGAACCACTGCGCAGTACACTCGTCCTTTAGTCAGCAAACGGATATCTCGCCTACGCCATAAGTGACGCAGGTTTT